ACGAGACGAGGAGAGGACGCGAGAGGAGAGGAGACAAGGGGAGGAGGACACGAGAGGAGACAAGAGGAGAGGAGATGAGATGCGATGAGATGAGAGGAGGAGGACACAAGAGGAGAGGACACGAGACGAGAGGAGATGAGAGGAGAGGAGATGAGACGAGAGGAGAGGACACGAGAGGAGAGGAGACAAGGGGAGGAGGACACGAGACGAGACGAGGAGAGAGGAGAGGAGAGGAGGAGGAGAGGAGACGAGAGGAGACAAGATGAGACTAAACGAGACGAGAGGAGACGAGAGGAGAGGACTCGAGAGGAGACGAGATGAGAGGACACGAGAGGAGAGGAGAGGAGAGGAGAGGAGGAGGACACGAGACGAGAGGAGACAAGAGGAGACGAGATGAGAGGAGACGAGACGAAACGAGAGGAGACGAGATGAGAGAAGGACACGAGAGGAGAGGAGACGAGACGAGAGGAGACGAGACGAGAGGAGACAAGACGAGAGGAGACAAGAGGAGACGAGACAAGAGGAGACAAGACGAGACGAAACGAGAGGAGACGAGGACACGAGAGGAGAGGAGACGAGAGGAGACAAGAGGAGATGAGACGAAACGAGAGGAGACGAGATGAGAGGAGACGAGGACACGAGAGGAGACGAGACGAGAGGAGACGAGATGAGAGGAGACGAGGACACGAGAGGAGACGAGACGAGAGGAGACGAGATGAGAGGAGACGAGGACACGAGAGGAGACGAGACGAGAGGAGACGAGATGAGAGGAGACGAGGACACGAGAGGAGACGAGACGAGAGGAGACGAGATGAGAGGAGACGAGGACACGAGAGGAGACGAGACGAGAGGAGACGAGATGAGAGGAGACGAGGACACGAGAGGAGACGAGACGAGAGGAGACGAGATGAGAGGAGACGAGGACACGAGAGGAGACGAGACGAGAGGAGACGAGATGAGAGGAGACGAGGACACGAGAGGAGACGAGACGAGAGGAGACGAGATGAGAGGAGACGAGGACACGAGAGGAGACGAGACGAGAGGAGACGAGATGAGAGGAGACGAGGACACGAGAGGAGACGAGACGAGAGGAGACGAGATGAGAGGAGACGAGGACACGAGAGGAGACGAGACGAGAGGAGACGAGATGAGAGGAGACGAGGACACGAGAGGAGACGAGACGAGAGGAGACGAGATGAGAGGAGACGAGGACACGAGAGGAGACGAGACGAGAGGAGACGAGATGAGAGGAGACGAGGACACGAGAGGAGACGAGACGAGAGGAGACGAGATGAGAGGAGACGAGGACACGAGAGGAGACGAGACGAGAGGAGACGAGATGAGAGGAGACGAGGACACGAGAGGAGACGAGACGAGAGGAGACGAGATGAGAGGAGACGAGGACACGAGAGGAGACGAGACGAGAGGAGACGAGATGAGAGGAGACGAGGACACGAGAGGAGACGAGACGAGAGGAGACGAGATGAGAGGAGACGAGGACACGAGAGGAGACGAGACGAGAGGAGACGAGATGAGAGGAGACGAGGACACGAGAGGAGACGAGACGAGAGGAGACGAGATGAGAGGAGACGAGGACACGAGAGGAGACGAGACGAGAGGAGACGAGATGAGAGGAGACGAGGACACGAGAGGAGACGAGACGAGAGGAGACGAGATGAGAGGAGACGAGGACACGAGAGGAGACGAGACGAGAGGAGACGAGATGAGAGGAGACGAGGACACGAGAGGAGACGAGACGAGAGGAGACGAGATGAGAGGAGACGAGGACACGAGAGGAGACGAGACGAGAGGAGACGAGATGAGAGGAGGACACGAGAGGAGAGGAGACGAAACGAGACAAGAGGAGACTTTTATTAAATCAAAATTAAATATTTTATTTTAATTTAAATCAGCATAAATTTAAGCAGTGTAACAAATTATTCCATAATGTGTGATTATTATAGATGTATGTATATAAAAAATTTTTGAATTACATAATTGAACGTATTTATTTATTACTTATTTACTTACAATACAATAATTAGAGCTAGTGCTTGATGCATAAATAAATAAATAAATCTAATAATTCTCTCTTGATTTGTAGTTGAATGACTTGCACATGTTTTTGACAGGTTTTGTGAGATATGAGGTTCAAGTATGAATTTAGCACGAGGCAGAATGGCTTTAAAGTGTTAGATTGCAATCACTTTTTTTATTGTCTTTTATTTTCTTCAAAGCTTGTTCTACAATAGTCTATTTATAAAGAGTATTTGTATTTCTCCTCTATTTTAAACTTTAAGTGGATTTGCACAAGGAATTCCCTCCCTGAACACAAAGTCTCTATTTCAGTCTCAACACAGTAAGGAGGGCTTGTGAGTGATGGTCGTGTGTGTGTGTGTGTGTGCTTATACATATAGTGGGATGGGGTTTCACATAATACCAAACAATTGACAGTTCTAGACATATACAGAAATATCCATTCAATTTATGGAAATCATATTTTGTAACATAAATTGTAACAAAGTAAATAATCTCCTGTAACAATATACTGCATCATAATGCCACAATAAATAGAATGAGATATGTGTTGTTGACATTTGCAGAATAATGAAATGAGCTGCATTTATTTGCTAAAAAAAAAAGCCACATTTAAGCTGCAGATGAGTTCATGAGTCTATACCTCCCTCTAGTGGATGATTTATAGAAATACTGACAGTAGGGTTGATGCAAAGTCTATCTACATTATATCTATTTTTTTGTTTTTATTTAGTTAGTTTTGTAAATCAATATTAAAAACTGGTGCTTAATTTCCATTTTAATATGTCACAAATAAACATAATGGTACTAAAATAGATTTTATCCAAATTATCTACATATAATATTTACAACATTGCAAAATATATAAAATATATTAGAATATAATTGCATATTTTATATATTACTTTACAGACCCACACACACATAAATATACATAAGAATTTTATAATTTTGTTGCATTGCCAAATTTAAAATCAGTTTCCATTCAAATAAAAATATGAATGAATCAATGAGGCATTTATATAGCGCTTTATTGTGTATTGCTGTACAAACTTTTCTTTATTCTTAAAATATTTACGTAAATAATTTCTTTCCTTTGATTTTATATATTTATATTGTATATTGATTTTATCTATCTATCTATCTATCTGTCTGTCTGTCTGTCTGTCTGTCTATCTATCTATCTATCTATCTGTCTGTCTGTCCAGCCCTGAAACTTCAGTCTAGTTTTCTCTATTTCTGTATGTTCCATGCTGGGCTGATTTCTGTTTGACTGCAGTGGTCTAGAGCAGTGTTTCTCAACCCCTAGTGGTCCATCACGTAATTGCAGTAGGTCCGTAGAATCATTACAAAAATGTTTTTTTTATTATTATAACCATGAACTGATATATACATGCATGTTTTTTTATGTATATATATATATATCTGTTCTAGATTCAATGTAAACACTATGCTTTGGCAATACATTGTAACAATTGTCATGCCAATAAAGCACAAATTGAATTAAATTGAATTGAGAGAGAGAGAGAGCGAGAGAGAGAGACAGGTGACAGCGTCAGCAGAACTAAGGGTGTGTGAATACCTGGGTCTGTCTGTCTTCTGGTCAACTCATATAATCATGAAAAAATCAGTCTGCCATCAGTTGTGAGAAGATGAAAGCGTTATCTGTGTCGTTGTATCCTTTCAGTATTTAAGGGGATTTCCCACGACTGTCGTCAGCGCTGTTCAGTACACTGAATCAATGGCACTGTTCTCTATGAAGTGAAATATCAGCTTCACTGTAACCCATGTGATGCATTGATTGTTGATTGAGCCTTGTAAACTGGCACTCAAAGTAAATGAATGTCAACACTTTGTTTCATTCATGAATGAATCAGCGTTTTTAAGTGTATCCACTGAATGAATGTTTTTTTAATGATGACTCACTCGAAAGTCAATCCATTGCCGCCACCTGCTGGTGTAACAATGCCTGACAGCCCAGCGCTGATACTGAAACATCACTATATAGTCAGTGGCATAAAATGGTCAAAAAATGACAATAATATTGTTTCTCACAATTATTTCTAGGGCAATATATCGCTAAATAAAAAAAATAGTTAACAAGACCAGCCTATGGACAGGTGGCGACACTCCTCCTCCCACTGCAACATGCTTCAGTCCCACACACACAAACCCAGCCTGATCCGTCACACTTCTGCCTGATGCTTCTGCATCCTATTGCTTTAATGCAATCTATTTATCCTTTCTTTGGAGATTAACAATGAATATAACAAAAATCATTATTATGATAAATGATAAAGTAACCATTTCAGCTACACTAAATGGAATACTTTGGTTCCCCCGAATCTTCTGGATGCCTCAAATTCCCAAATTGTGGGAACTTCAATATAAATATATTTAACCCGATCTCATGAAAGTGCGTTTCTATTTGGCGTACTATTTATACGCAGAAATTGACTTTGGCGTGCTTATGGTATGCAATGTTTAGGAGTGTGAGGTGCGTATTATAGGCTATGAACGCCAAAATGCATATCATATGCAGGCTAACAAAGTGCGTGTCATATGCACGCAAAACTGCGTATTATATGCACGCCAAAGTCACTTTCTGCGTAATAGCACGCAAAATACAAAAACAAAAACAAAAAAATCGTGCTACTGATACGCATTTTCAAGTGCCTCAAAACCTTAGTTTACGTACCCCTGACAGCCTCTATAGTGATCGCAGGAACTTTCAACTCTGAGGAACCCAAATGTAGTTTTTCATGCATTTGCACGTCTTTGGCCTTTTTATTTTATCCTCGCTTTTGTAGATGACAATCTCTATCCAAAAGGGATGAGTGGCCACAAAAGCAGATCGAGGCAATGAATGAGTGAGCTCTCTCCTGGGACTCTGTCTTTTTGCTCAGGGTTGCAGGCTTGCCCCTTCACCACCGCCCATGCGTCAGATGATGTTCGCGGTTTCTGGCTATAAAAGACGCCTGCGCGCCATCCCGACTGGCACTCTCTTTCTCTTTCTCTGTCTTCCCACATCCACACACTTACTTCACTCATTCGGTCTGTGATCTCCAGCGTTTCAGCATGAGCTATTCCGGCGATATGTACACGAGCAGCTCCTACAGGAAGATTTTTGGAGATGCGCCGAGGCGCGTCCCGACGGCGAGTTACCGCTCCGGAGCGCAGCATCAGCAGCAGCAGCAGCATCAGCACCGCACCTACGGCTCTCCATCCCCAATGATCATATCCTCAAGTTACCGGACCAAACGCGGCTTCCAGCCCATGCCAGACACCGTGGACCTGACGCAGACCACCGCCATCACCAACGAGCTGAAGATCATCCGCACCAACGAGAAGGAGCAGCTGCAGGGCCTAAACGACCGCTTCGTGACGTTCATCGAGAAGGTGCACTACCTCGAGCAGCACAACAAAGTCCTGGAGGCGGAGGTCGCGCTGCTGCGCCAGCGTCACAGCGAGCCGTCGCGTCTGCACGATCTCTACGAGCAGGAGATCCGCGAGCTGCGCGCGCGCGTCGAGGAGCTGACGCACGAGAAGAGCCAGATGCACCTGGACTGCGTGCAGATGAACGAGGCTCTGGAGCGCCTCAAGGACAAGCTGGAGGAGGAGAGCCGGCTGAGGGAGGAGGCAGAGAGCAGCCTGAAGGGATACCGCAAGGACGTGGACGACGCCACGCTGACGCGTCTGGAGCTGGAGAAGAAAGTGGAGTCGCTGCTGGATGAGATCGCCTTCCTCAGGAAGGTGCATGAGGAGGAGCTGCAGGAGCTCCAGGCGTCGCTTCAGTCCACGCAGGTATGAAACGCCTCAGGTTTCATCATTTAAAACAAACTCTTTTGGCTAGCACTTTCCAGCTGTTCTGTTAACACTTACATACATGTGACCCTGGAGCACAAAACCAGTCATGAGGGTCAGTTTTTTTAAATTGAGATTTATACATCACCTGAATAAATCATCTTTCCATTGATGTAAGGTTTGTTAGGATAGGACAATATTTGAAAATCTGGAATCTGAGGGTGCAAAAAAATCTAAATATTGAGAAAATCATCTTTAAAGTTGTCCAAATGAAGTTCTTAACAATGCATATTACTAATCAAAAATGTAAGTTTTGATATATTTACAGTAGGAAATGTACAACATATCTTCATGGAACATGATCTTTACTTAATATCCTAATGATTTTTGGCATGAAAGAAAAATGTATAATTTTGACCCATACAATGTATTGTTGGCTATTGCTACAAATATACCCCAGCGACTTAAGACTGCTTTTGTGCTGCAGGGTCACCATCTTAAACCAGCTAAGACCAGAGACCAGCCTGGGCCGAGTTATGTTTTTACACTGATTTACAGATTTACATCTCAAATAGCTACATAAAGTGCAATAGTTGCAAAGGCATCGCTACATAACATTTTTAATTCTAGTGAAATAAAACTACTCGGTTAAGAAAAACACTGCAATAGAATACGCTTTACATGTGTTCAATTTGCAGTGTAAGATAGATCTTGAGTTTGATTAAAAATAAATTACAAAAAAGCGTATAAATAAAAGTATGAGCATCATAGAAATCCACATTTTGCATATGATTTAAATAACATTTAACGCATATGCAAAATGTGGATTTCTATGATGCTCATACTTCTATGATGGGTTGGAAATTGCTACATAATATATACTGTAAAATGTTTTGTCAGGAAACAAATATGTCCTTACAATATTAAATATTATTATAATGTTAATATTTCGATTATAATTGTAATGATATTTAAATTATATTTTAATATTCAATATGAGTGAATCATCATGGTTTACATCAGTTATTTTAAAGGCCATATCAGGTATTTACAGGTTTTTCAATGCATGATAGAACTTGTGAAAAGCACATAAATACCAGAAATGCAGTGAAATACTGTGTTTATTAATAACTCAGCGTGTGGGCATGCGTGTCATGATTTACAGCACTGCAGCGCAGACATTCAGAACCAGAGCCTGCAATGCACCAGAACCTCCATTCATCTCTCTCACAACTTCAACATCTCCAAAAGCAGATTTAATGGGTCCAAGACAAGGATGAGCGCTTAGGGTGAAATGTATTGAAAGCTGAAAGGGTTGTTGTTGATGAGAAGTTCACACCGGTGTGCAGATGATGATGATGATGATGATGATGATGATGATGCAGGAGCGCAGATTTTAGGCGTGGCTGCAGAGAGCTTCACACTCACTCTACTTCTGCACTACAGAAGATAACATTTCCAGTTTCATTTAAAAGCATCCTGGATAAAAGTCATAAACTTTTCTTCAATGTTACATCTGAAAATAAGCCATCATCATCATGCATCTTCATGCATGGATTGTTGTTGTTGATGAAGTGGCTGATGAATTGCTGTTGTGTCCCAGCTTCATCTTTCCTTGTGCATTAAAACCCCTGAGTGTGCGCTCCATCCCACAGCCCCGAGAGCTCAAAACTTCATTACCACACGTTACACTCAAAGACCGATTAAATGCACCATGCTTTTTCACTGCCAATGCAACTTCACTACCTGATGGACATCGGTTTATTGATAAACTGTTTATTTATCAGTATACTCAAATAACCACTGACAAATTTGAGCAACATTTTATATAGGGAAAGAATGTCTCATATTTATGCCAACTAATATCTGTCCCTGGAGCACAAAACCAGTCATAAGGGTCAATTTTTTGAAAGTGAGATTTATGCATCATCTGAAAGCTGAATAAATCAGCTTTCCATTGATGTATGGTTTGTTAGGATAGGACAATATTTGAAAATCTGGAATCTGAGGGTGCAAAAAAATCTAAATATTGAGAAAATCATCTTTAAAGTTTCCTACCGTAAATATATCAAAACTTAATTTTTAATTAGTAATATGCATTGCTAAGACATTTTCTCAATATTTAGATTTTTTTGCACCCTCAGATTCCAGATTTTCAAATAGTTGTATCTCAGCCAAATATTGTCCTATCCTAACAAACCTTGATCCTTAACTTTCAGATGATGTATAAATATGAATTTCAAAAAAGTGACCCTTATGACTGGTTTTGTGTTCCAGGGTCACATACAGTATGTATATTAAAGTTATTTGTATTATTGAGTAATAGCTGACTGTTCTTCACGCTCAGGTGTCTGTTGAGATGGACGTCAGTAAGCCTGACCTCGCTGTAGCCCTGAAGGACATTCGTGTCCAGTACGAGTCTCTCTCCGCCCGGAACCAGCAGCAGGCGGAGGAATGGTACCGCTCCAAGTTCACTTCTGTGACGGAGGTGGCGGCGCGCAACAACGATGCTCTGAAGCAGTCCAAGGACGAGCTGTGTGAGTACCGCCGACAGCTGCAGGCCCGCACCCTGGAGATCGAGGCCCTGAAAGCCCATAACGAGGCCTTAGAAAGACAGCTGGCGGAGATGGAGGACCGCCAAAACAACGAGATCGGCGAGCTGCAGGTGAGAGCGCTTCACTTTCACATTGAGCCCGGTCTCATGAAATGCGTATCAATAGCACTTTTTTTTTTGTATTTTGTGATATTTATGCAGAAACTGACTTTGGCGTGCATAGGATACGCACGTGTTTGGCATGCATATAATACACAGTTTTTGCGTGCATGTAATACACAGTTTTTGCGTGTATATAATATGCAGTTTTTGCATGCATATATGCCGGTTTTGCGTGCATATAATACGCACTGTGTTGGCCTGCATGTAATACGCAGTTTTTGCGTGCATATAATACACAGTTTTTGCGTGCATATAATATGCAGTTTTTGCGTGCATATAATACACAGTTTTTGCGTGCATATAATACACATTGTGTTGGCGTGCATATAATACACAGTTTTTGCGTGCATATAATACACATTGTGTTGGCGTGCATATAATATGTAGTTTTTGCGTGCATATAATACGCAGTTTAACCCTACCAATTGCGCATCATATGCGTGCCAAAGTCCATTTCTGCGTATAAATAATATGCAAAATAGAAACAGAAAATCGTGCCATTGAAACGCACATTCATGAGATCGGGTTGGGGCCACCAGTAAAACTGCTCCTATTCTGCGTTTTTCTAATGTAATTTGAAAAAAAGTCTATTATAAATTATATTATGAAGATAAGATTTTTCTTAAAAAGGCCTTGTTGTCTCGTTTGTGCGGTAGGACACTATTCAGCAGCTGGAATCTGCTCTGAGGAGCACCAAAGGTGAGATGTCCCGTCATCTGCGTGAATACCAGGAGCTGCTAAACGTCAAGATGGCGCTGGACATCGAGATCGCAGCCTACAGGTCAGACTCAGAACTGCTGCCAAATCAATAGCTTTCAGTCTTGTGACCGGCTCGAAGACCTGGAGGGCAAAACATCCACTGAACTGCAGCACATCTGTTTCCAAGCCTTAAATATTTAGATCACCTATCAAAAGAATAAAACAAAGATATGTGGACAAAATGCAAGTTTTGGCCATTTGCACTCCATATTATATGGAGTATTTCAATCACTAAACAGCGCGACAAAAGATTGTGAAAAACACTTAAAGTGCCTTAATGATTTTTAAAACAGTGATATTAAAAGAACAAATTCAGTACACATCTTATTGATTATGCTTACTTAGATGAGCCCGGAATATGAATGTAATGTGCATAAATGGTTCCGTGTTTTCTTTATAATGGTTTTCTATGGGAAACCATTTAATGTGAAACTTTATGTGTTGCGTGTATATTCTGGGTTCGTCTGCTTGCCTATACAAAGTATGCATCATCAATAAGGTGTGTACTGAATTTCGCCTTTTAATATCAACGTTTTACTACACTACTACTTATTGCAAACCGCATAAAAATAATGGAGTAGTCAGGGGAGCAAAGCCTCGTTTTGCCCTCCAGATGATGTTCCTATAAGGCTGTGACGTCACGTTAAAACGATCAATTCCACGTCTTAAGGCCATTGCACACTGAGTCCGAAATTTTCGCATGTTGAAAAATAAATACGACCTCACATTGTGTCAATCAGTTTTACACACTGCCTCCGAAACTTTTGTCCGTCATAAAAAAAATTCGGATCGGGTTCGAATTTCTGCGTTTTTCACATCCGTAGCAAGCATTTTGAGAGGTGTTTTGACAATTCAGAATCGAACTAGTGCTATCAAACGATTAATCGCATCCAAAATAAAAGTTTTTGTTTACATAATATATGTGTGTGTACTGTGTATATTTGTTATGTATATATAAATACACACTCTTACTGTATATATTTTGAAAATATTTAAATGTATATATTTATATAATTTATATTATATATAAATATATTTATTATACAAATATAAAAATGTTCTTAAATATATACGTGCATGTGTGTGTATTTATATATACATAATAAATATTCACAGTACACACACATATTTTATGTAAACAAAAACTTTTACGCATTGGACTCAGTGTGCAAGGTTTTTTTAGGATGATGTTTTTTGGACTCAGTGTGCAAGGACCTTTAGTGTCATTTATCAGAGTTCCATCTATACCCATATATGGTCGTTCCCAACAGGAAGCTGCTGGAAGGTGAGGAATGCCGTCTGAGCTCTGTGGGCGGAGCCTTGCAGCACTCCGCCTACTATTACACACCGAGCCGCACTTATGCTCTGAGGAAGGGCGGAGCCAACCCCGAGACTGAAGAAGAGCAGGAAGAGGAAGAAGAGGAGGAGAAGGAAGAAGAGGAGGAGGAGGCCGAGGAAGGAGAAGAACAGGAGGAAGGAGGCGATGAGGAGGAGGAGGAAGAACAGGAGGATGAGAAGGAAAAGGAAAAAGTGGATGAGAAGAAGGAAAAGGAAGAAAAGAAGAGCCCAAAGGAACAGAAAGAGAACGAGAAGGAGAAAGAGAAAGAAAAGGAGAAGGAGAAGAAGAGCGATAGCAATAAGGAAGACAGCAAGAGTGAAAAGGGGGACAATAACAAGGGCGAGAAGGCCTCTGCGCTCAAGAGCAAGTAAAGCTGCGTCCCTCCGACAAATTCACATCAACATCCACTCATCCTCGCCTCATTTCACTGGGCACGGCTGATTTCATCTGGATCTCTGCGGGAAAGCAACGAGCCGGTAGTGAAAGCGCTAAAACGGAAGGTTGGCTAGTTTTCTGTACAGCACTCGAGAGATGAAGAGAGCCTATGAAGTAGTTCAGCTGAACATCTTCATGCAGCGAAAGCAGATGCTAAGTAAACCTCCGTGCTCCAAAAAGACAAATAAGCAGCATAAATATCGTCCACGTAATCCGTGTGCCGTATTTCAAGTCTTCTGAAGTTGTGTGAGGGTAAATCATTTTTCCACCAGTAAACATCCTATCTTCTGTTTTCTCAGATCTTAAAGAGATAGTTCACCCTAGATGAAAAATGTGTCATCATTTACTCACTCTCATGTCATTCCGAACCCTTTAGACTTTGGTTCATCTTTGAAAACACAAATTAAAGGGGTCATATGACGTTGCTAAAAAGAACATTATTTGTGTATTTAGTGGAATGCAATGTTCAAAAAACACATTATTTTCCACATACTGTACATTATTGTTTCTCCTCTATGCCCCGCCTTTCTGAAACGCGTGATTTTTACAAAGCTCATCGGTCTGAAAAGCGAGGTGTGCTCTGATTGGCCAGCTATACGACAACAACACTACAGCGAGAATAGAAGCTACACCTTCTTTCTTTGTGTGAACATTTGGGCGGTGTTATGCAAATCTTCCCACATCGTGACGTAGACGTGGGGGCGTGTTTTAATGAGGCGTTTGAAGACGATTCTTAAATTTAAGCAAGGATATCTCTTTGGGTTTGAGACTTTAATCTTTGCGACTTTACGGATCTTATATATGCACGAACAGCTTGTAACACTCCAAAGAGAAAGGAAGACATATGACCCCTTTAAGATATTTCCAAAAAAATCCTGAGAGGTTTCTGTCGCTTCACTTCAAGTCCAGGTAACCAAAACACTTGAAAGATCCAAAAAGGTTGTCATCGGAGGGTGATTTCCATTTTAGGGTGAACTATTCCTTTTTTATTTGTATTTTTTTATTTAACACAGTTTTGCAGCATAAATCACCATGCATTTCTAAGCTTTTAGCTTAAAGCTACACTCTTAAAAATAAAGGTGCTTCACGATGCCACAGAAGAACCTTTTTTGTCTAAATGGTTCCATAAAGAACATCTGAAGAACCTTTCTGTTTCACAAAAGTTTGCAGCATAAATCACCATGCATTTCTAAGCTTTTAGCTTAAAGCTACACTCTTAAAAATAAAGGTGCTTCACGATGCCACAGAAGAACCTTTTTTGTCTAAATGGTTCCATAATGGTTTCACAAAAGCTTCTTTGTGGTGAAAGAAGGTTCTTCAGATTATAAAAAGGTAAGAAAGAGATGGTTCTTTAAACCAATGGTTCTTCTACGGCATCGCTGTGAAGAAGCACCTTTATTTTTAAGAGTGTAAGAGTGTAAGACAATAATATGGGGCCTGAAGGACATTGGGGAGCGTAAATGATGGCAAAATGTTAATTCTTCCTGGTGTTCACGTGCCATTATTTCCCGGAGTGCAGAAAGTGATGCCATGCAGTCCAAATGCAAAACGGACCAAGTTTGCAGGTTCCAACCTCTCGGTGCTATCTGATTTTAAACATAAGTGAGTTTGGACTTGGAGAAGGTAATTATTCATTGAGCAAAAGCATATTATCTAGAGCTTCACTCGAGTCCTGAATGTACGTCACAAGCCAAGCACAGGGAGAGGCCACGTCTCCTAATTTTCCAGAGATTTTAGGGCATCTATACCCACATGAATGAAATTGTCCAAGCTCATTTCAATACGTTCGCTCGTAAGGGGAAGAATGCAAAGCATGCAACATTTTTGAACATTAATGCACGCATCTGCTCATCCATTCACGGTTTCCTTAAATGCACCGGTCACAGCATGCAGTTAAACGAGACTGATGAGATAAAAGATTCAACATTTATGGATTTGAGAAAGAAGAGCGCATTGTGTATCATCTGTAGTGTGGGAAAACCCTTCTGCAATTTAGATTCTGACGCTTTAGAGACGATTGCTGCTAAATATCCCTCTATTCCTTCCTGTGTTCAAAAACGACCTCCTCTTGATCCATTCATCTTCCTCTCCATCCTGATCTCTTGACGTATTTCTCTTCTTCTCGCTTTCTAATCCATGGCATGGCTTTCTTCTGAGTTTAGCCATCCCTTTTGTGTTTCTGCTCGCAAACGAGTGAATTACAAGAAATATGTCCAGACCACTGCTGAAATCAAAAGACATTTTTAAATTATTTTTTATTTTTGGATAAAGAAAATGAAGATTACTTTTAGGGCCATTAAGATTTGTTGCTCCCACACCCAATTCTGATTAGCGTAATGCATCTGGACATTCTGCTTGTCTTAAGATTCTCATAACTGTTATTGTATTACAGTAAAAATAATGAGAATAATTAATAACATTTACAGCATTTGTATTATAAAAAATTTAATTATTTGCAGTACAACAAATGCTACCATGATGAATAAATGCTTTATCATTTAAATAAAGCGCAGTGACTGAAAAGGCTCTGTCACCCTTAGTTTTCAAACGGGAACGAGGGACAGATAAAAGAGCCCTGTCAGTGGAGTGAGAGCACAGAACAGCAGGGATGAAGTAGACTAATGCTACACACTGTACTTCAAACGATGAAAAAGTTCGAACAGAAACGGATTGAATATTAAGTGATTGTTTAAAAACCATTGCAACCCCACCACCCCTACCAGTAGATCTGGGGGTACTAATAAAACAGCAGTTCGGTGGGCAAAGTTCTTCAAAAACTGACAACTCACCAGCACCGGCCCAAGTCTCAGTCAAGAACAAAATGTCCAGATCCCAACTACTTAAGAGAGGAACACAGCACGGTAACCGGCGAGCGCACTCCAGCGCGGGTCGGTTGAATGAGGATTGAGAATGAGAATGCAGAACGGGGCACAATCCACAGTAAACTCCCATATAACTTTTGATATTAAGCAAAGCTTGGCGATCGTAGGTGATTTAACTTTAATGAAAAAATGCAAAAATCTTAATCGTCAAATATTTTCTTTATGCAAAATATTTTTTCTTTTAATTTTGGGGTTCATGAAACTAACTGAATATTGTGTCATGTTCATTTCACATCTGACACAAAATATTTTCTATTTATGCATTTTTGTGACGTAATCACATTTCTTCTTTCATAAACCTTTGTGCATATAAAAAGTGTAATGTCTGCCCACAGAATATGCTTCTAGTGTTGCTCTGACAAATTCTTACTTCAAATTTTTCTTTAAATGCACGTTACATTGTACTGTGTTTTAGGGTTAAAGGAAATGTCTCTAAACTGATGAAGTCTTGTTTTCTTAAAGTTTGGAGGAAATGTGTGAAGTGAGTGACGTTAAAGAAATTCTTGCAGGATTTGGTCTCATTTTTGCAGCAAATAATTTAAAAGAGTCGGAAAGGAGGGAAGAGCAAGATTTCCAATTAACAGTGCAGCAAATTATTCATGAAATGAATCAATCAAGAGGAGGTTCAGTGTGCATGGCCTGATTCACTTGGAGCTTGACAATATTGAAGAGGTGGGATAGATTTGCTTGATGTGTGTAAAAATGTACGTAAATGCCTTAATCATGAATCTAAGCTGCTTAAAAGAGTCCTCACGTTTTCTGCGGAGTGCTGACACTTTAACTATGGCTGCTAACTGATACAGTGATGTTCCCCTAAAGCCAAATAAAGCCATTTATCAACCAAACACTGTCTCTTTGTCTCTAACAAACAGCAATGCTATTATTACTATTTTTAAGTAGCAGCTCAGTTGTCTTCAAAGTAGAGATAGCATTTGTTGTTTAAAGGGGTCATAGGATGCTACACGCACTTTTACAAGTTGTTTGAACTGAGATGTGTGTTGGCAGTGTGTGTACACAACCACCCTATAATGATAAAAATCCACCCGGTGTTTTTTTTTTAATCTGGTTAAATGTTTTCCCCTTTCTCAAATCGAGCCGATCTCAGATGCCTGTCTGTGTGACGTCACAGAGACAGGCCCCTCCCACGATAGTTTGATTGACAGTAGCGTTTCAGCACAGACTGGACTGGAGTCTAGCTCCGCCCTGAGTGAGCTGTCATCAGTCCGCCATTGTTTCACCGCCGGAGCAGATGTAGACAAGAATGACTCCTAAGCGATTGAGGTGTTCTGTTGTTGGATGTAATAATGAACAGCAGTCGTCATTTACTCCCGACATCTGAGCCGCTGAACTCGCAGTGGATTACATTTGTTTCTGAAGGGAATGCACCCCCGATCTACATAAATGC